TTTTTAACATATTGTGCCGCCAAAAGTTAAGCCCACGTTTTTTTTATGCGCATAGAAAAATTTTCATTTCTAGGGATATTTGAAAGCCAAAAAGCCAAAAATCTCCCTGGATATACGATTCACCCAAATCTAGCTTTTTGAAACAGATACCGTCTGGACTATTACCAGTGCTGTAGATATAGGAGGGTCAACATCTGTATGATCGTGTAACTTCTTCTACGTCTATGTACTATGTTCTGCTACTTTTGTAAAGCAACATATTTTGTAAAAAAATACTTCTGTCAAATTTTTCGTTTTCTTAGATTTCAGACTATATAGCACAACAATAGTACTCTCTTTTAAAAAAAACCGTCAGATTTGCAAGATTTTAATTAATAAATTGACACCTATAAAAGTTAAATCAGAATAAGATTGATAAACAAATAAAATAAAATAATAATATTTTCTATTTATCGCTTGAAAAGAACGAAAAAAGGTCTTCATAAACATACTTGTTAAAGTGTTTCATTTCCCAGATATACAGTCAATTAGTATCCTAAAACTTAGTATTCCTTCAATTTTTTTTGGAGTTGCAAATTGAATCATCTCTTTTTACTGCAATAGGCATTTTTGTGTAGAACCAACTCATTCAGAAACGTAGGTAGTCGTTTTCCTTAAAAGTGTGTGAAATCTTGCATCAAACTCCAGGAATGGATTCTACACATCAAAATAAAAGAAAATATGTTGTTATGCAATTTTCATTTGTTTTCAAGTTATAGCATAATTACAAATTTTAAAATTTTGAAATCAGGGTGTCATATTCCAAGTTCCAAAGTGGACATTTGTCAGCGTTATTTTATATTTATAATTTAATATTTGATACACATTTTTGTAATGGAATGCTAATGCTACTGTTGAAGAATATTGTCAACGGTTTTCACATCACTGATGTCCTGATAAAAATGTATTTATCAGAGTTTTCAACAAACCGTGCGAAACCGGAAAGCTTCCCAGTAAAATCTGAACGAGCTCATTGACAAGGTTTAGAAGAAGTAGCTTGAAAACAAATGAAAAATGCATAACAACATTTGGAGTTTGGTGCAATTCTACCGACTCGCCCTTCAACAAACTGTACAGATATAAAAAAAAAATTACACAAAAATCACGCTTTAACAGTTGACCTCTTCCCCCAAGTTCTACTAAATGTAGATATTAATTGTATTAAAGTTATCATGACATTTCTGAAATATATTTTTTTTTCCAAAAAAGTTTAACGCTTGGAGACAATATATATCCGAACTTTTGTGCTTTTTTTACTTAAGGACTAATCCCTCAGAACTTCCTGACACACTTATTAATTATTTAATTTTTGGTTACCATAGATACACATGATTTTAACATTTATATTCTTGTACAGGAAGTGGTATACCACGGATTTGCCTTCATTCTTTATCTGGCAGCAAGTCTGACCTTCGTTATCGAGATTAACCACAGGAAACGTAATTACTACAACGATTATGAGCCTTACTTTGCTGCTGCTGTAAGTAATTGGACGAATATATTTTTCCATATTAGTAAAAAGAAATCAGTAACAAGTGTAATTTGTAGTATAAATCACATTTTTTTACAGGTTATTGGTTTGGTGATTTCCTTCCTCTACCTTCTAAGTACCATCTTCGCTTTGAGGAGTTACAGAGGCCTATAAGTTTTAGTTTAGTTACCGTTATTTATTATTTATTTCCCTTGCTATGTATTTACATAGTTTTTTATGCTGTTGTTAGGGGATTTACCACTGCATTTTACTACAACAGGCACTACCGATTAGACTTTCCCCAAATTTTACTTATATTCTTTTTTTGTTTGTTTTGTAAGTTTATAGTTATATTTTAAATGAGTACAGAAGACCTAGGGTTTATTGACCAATAAATTTAAAAAAATTGGATTTATATATACTGGAAAGACATACTCATATATCTACCAAAAAGTAAATTTCGGATGTAGATGTAGAAGATATACGTATATTTTTAAAGTTATTTTTAAGATTAGAAGATTAGGCGAAGATGTAGGAGTAAACTGACAAAATGCTGCCATAAGTGTCTGTATAACGTGCCTTAAGTGTTTGCCTATATTTTTTATTACTTACTTACTGTCGGTCCATTTATATTAACTCTTTGTGGATTTTTTGTTATTTTTAATGTAGATTTTAATAAATGTTTGTACTATTTATCAGGACGTTCAATCCTCTGGGCCTTCTAACCTACAAGATGTGAAAAAATGAGATCCTCATTGAAAATTAAAAATGTAAAAAAATCTCTTCGCCCACTTTCCAGAAGACTACTTGCGTAGTTTTTCACTTNCCTCAGACTGTTATCCTGCTAGGTAAAATTAAATTATATTTCATATTTTAAGGATCTTGAATAAAAAAAGTGACTCTCTCTGTATACGACACTCAGTTCAATATTATTATAACAGTCAGTACAGTTTTATTAAGGTAACTACAAGTCCTCCTTTGAGGAGAATTGTTCTCCTTTCACGAGCTTTATCTTTCTTAAAGCTAGCGTCCTCCTATGTCCTACATTTGGGCAGTCAGTATTTAGATACATGTTTTTTGTTGTGATATTTACAATTATTTTTATAAGTTTACATACACGTTTATAATTTTGGTAAATTAACAAGAAATAAATAAATAAAATATAATTATATAATTACTATTAAGATGAAACTTAAAATTTTTTAGGAAAATATAGAGTTTTTTATTATTAATTTATAATTATTGTCCTAATAGGTGTAAGGTAAAGATGGAAGATGGAAATGCCCTTAACAATGTGCTGAATATAGTTTGAAATAGTCCAGTGCCTGATTTACAGTGGTGGGGGCCTGAAGGCTGAATATTGGTGGGGGCCTATTCTAGAAAAAAAATATCCTTTTTGGTACCCTCTAAAAAAAAATTGGATTGAATTCAAATTTTAAGAATAAAAAATTATATTTTTCAGAATAATTTTTCTTTCTCATTCATGATGACTTTTCATAAAAAAAATTTGTTAACACGGTGGGGGCCCCTAATTGGTAGGGGCCTGTAGGCTGCAGCCTACACCAGCCTATAGGTAAATCAGGCACTGAAATAGTCCCTAAATAACCAATTGAAATAATTGCCTGGGAGAGAGTAACAATTCTAGTGCTGTGTATAATCCTTACTCTTTGGCTGTGTTC